CTACCTTAGAAAGTCCTCTTTATCAAGAACACTGATGAGTATTGATGTAGAGATAAACGTCGCTTCCTGCGCCTATAAGGTGGCTGTACTCTTCATGTGTTCTGTTCCTTATACACAGCCAAATCTCACATCTCTGTGGATGAGGAAGACAAAGGACAGAATAACCCTGGCTGCAGAGTTCAGTGGACACCAGGAATCCAGAACACTGATTTGAGCAGACACTGTCAGCCTCCATCCCCCAGCCAGTCCCTATCCCAACCTCCCTCTGACTACCTGCCACCACATGCTGAGGGAATATAAATCATCCTTGGGTTAACCTGAGCAAAATATAATCAAGAGGACAAGCTAGCTTGGGGCCAGCAGAGCGAGAGGAGAGCTATGTATCACGCACGCCAAAGTCAAGCAGGAACAAGGTCTGCGCTTTAAAAAAAAAACACCATCTGGAAACTTAGTCTGAATCTCAATTCTAACTTAATCTCCACCTGCCTTAGTTTACTGAAAAATCATATGTGAAAGATAAAATACATCTATAATGTCCAGCAGTTCCCGGAAGTTTAACGGGCCTGGAAACTGCATAAATTGTCATCAGGACTGCAGTATTGTCCAATGGGTCAGAGCCGAGATTTTAGTGTCAGAGGGACTCCAGGATGTTGGCCCCATGAACCTTATCAGCTGTGACACTTTCAGAAATTTCCCTAACCTCTCTGAGCTCTTTGTCTCATCTATATGTGACGGGCTTAGTAGAACCACCTGAGGTATTGGGGACTTTACCAGTTAGTGGTAACCCCTGTAGGGAGTTAGTGTAGAACCAGGGCCACAGTTAAATCTCAGCTCCAGGTCCAGGGCTCTTTCCACTACTCGATGCAATCTGTCCAAAAAAAAAAGACTTCTGTCTTGCCCATTAGAATGAAAACAAAACAAAACAACACAAGATGATTCATGATTAAAATACACATTAAGTATTAAAATGCAAAACCTGTAAAAGTTATTATAGGAACACTAAATCACAGTGAAATGAGAACATTTAAATGCTGCATTCATAAGATGGGAACAGAGAGAGACGGAGTTCATTCCCCGCCCTGATGAGAGTCCGTGACTTAATTACTTTGGTCAAGTAACAGCACCGAGTTAACAACTTACTTGCAGATGCTAATGGTACCACTCGGGCAGGGGCAAAAGGGGACCTGTGCCTTTGTATTCTGAGAGCTATGAAAATAAGGAGAAAACTACTTGTAAAATGTAATGAATCGAATACTCTTGTTAAAGGCTTCAATTTATTTCAAAGAGCCAAGAAACTAAATTTGAGAAGACATTAAGTAATTTCTGAGGGAATTCCAAAAGGAGATTGGAAGGTGTCCTCTCAAAAATAAGGCAGAGAACATCAGAAAGGGAGATCATAGGAGATTATCTAGCATATTCTCTGTCTTCAGGGAACAGCAGGGCTTTTGATACAAGAGAGATACTGCCTGCATTTGTGGGACCATGTTTTTAAATGGTGGGCATTGAGGTCAAAAAAGCAATTCAGTGAGCCACGACAGTCAATTTCTTTTTAAATGAAAGAGAATAGAACCTAATAGAAAATACCAGGTTGCATTTCATATAACAAGAGAGAGTACTGAATTTTATGTATAACTGGGTGTGCACATGTGTTTAGTAGTTCATGATGTAATATACATTTCATTTGGTGAGTTGCATACAAGAAAGTCTGCAAAACACTCCTCTAGAAAACTTTTACCAGACAGGGTTCTTTTTTTAACATATATTAAAAACAGTTATGAATACTGGCCCTTTTCCTCATTCTTGGGATCTGTGCTAAAGTTAAACAGAAAGGTGGTAGAATATTAGAACAGAAAGGAAGAAACAAATTAGCAGAATATAAATGAGTGACTAGTAACAAGAGGCTAGAGACCAAACAGATGAGACAGATGAGTTCTGGGCTTTTTTCTAAGGCCTCTTGCTTTCTGATAACTAAGGATTCCCTGGCTATTCTTCTTTCTCAGTGGAGCACCAGAAACACAGTAGATACCTAGAAATCCTTGCCCGGTGACCCTTTAGAAGCCCCTCTATTCTCTCTATGGTAACACACAAGCAGAGTGATTGCTGCCTTTTCAATGATGTCAGATTGTTGCAAAAGCTCCCTGAAGGCTGAGCTAATGGTTGGTCTGCTGCTGTATGTCCATCTCCACAACAGGGCCTGTCAAGTGCTCCGTACATTTTGTTGGGATTGCACTGAAGGACATCAAAGGGCAGTAAAGATCTACCTCTAATAGCCATCCAATGCTAGAACCACTTTGCAACAACACTCTTTCCTGTTCATTGAGAAAAAGATATTCTAATTAGAGAAAAACAACAATAATAACAAACCTCTGAACTTAGGCTTCCTGGGAGCAAGTAGCTTGGAATCTCTTATGCCTCTTGGCCCAGAGGTCACATTGAATGAAAAGCTTTGCCTCATCCTTTTATAGAATAAGAGCCTCTTGAAATGTCACATGCTCTTTAGGATGTCAAAATTGGACCTACTTTTCGGACCCAGTCTGGACCTGGAGACACAAAGAAGATGCTTTTCCCAGTCTGGACAGCTTGAGGGCAACAACCGTCTTGGATCTAAAGCTGCTGAGCTATTTCAGAGGTCCTGTCCGCATTGCTAACTGGGGCAGGCAGGATGCCCAGGAGGGCCTGAGGCACGGGGCTGGATTTGGGGAAGCAGTCAATTGACGGAGTAAATACACATGAATCAGGCCCTGGTTGCTTTCCCACAAGAAGCCCAGGCTGAGGGGCAATGAGACCAGGCTGGGAAGTAACCATTTCACCCCTCTGCAGCTTTGTTATAACTCTCTGCCTATGGGTCCAAACCCAACTCCTAACAGTGCACTACCTGGGGTGGCTCATAACGGATGTCCTGGGCCTGAGTACATACGGGGATGGCGCCGGTCACCAGGCTAGGTTTCTTGGAAGACATATGGGGAGTTATCACTGCGGGTGTCGGGGAAAGATGCCCTACACCAATGGATCGATTCAAAGTCAAATGCAAATTCAAGGGAGAGCTCACTAGTCAGCAGTTACTCTTCGTACCCAGACAAATATCCCTATAGCTACTACCTTAGAAAGTCCTCTTTATCAAGAACACTGATGAGTATTGATGTAGAGATAAACGTCGCTTCCTGCGCCTATAAGGTGGCTGTACTCTTCATGTGTTCTGTTCCTTATACACAGCCAAATCTCACATCTCTGTGGATGAGGAAGACAAAGGACAGAATAACCCTGGCTGCAGAGTTCAGTGGACACCAGGAATCCAGAACACTGATTTGAGCAGACACTGTCAGCCTCCATCCCCCAGCCAGTCCCTATCCCAACCTCCCTCTGACTACCTGCCACCACATGCTGAGGGAATATAAATCATCCTTGGGTTAACCTGAGCAAAATATAATCAAGAGGACAAGCTAGCTTGGGGCCAGCAGAGCGAGAGGAGAGCTATGTATCACGCACGCCAAAGTCAAGCAGGAACAAGGTCTGCGCTTTAAAAAAAAAACACCATCTGGAAACTTAGTCTGAATCTCAATTCTAACTTAATCTCCACCTGCCTTAGTTTACTGAAAAATCATATGTGAAAGATAAAATACATCTATAATGTCCAGCAGTTCCCGGAAGTTTAACGGGCCTGGAAACTGCATAAATTGTCATCAGGACTGCAGTATTGTCCAATGGGTCAGAGCTGAGATTTTAGTGTCAGAGGGACTCCAGGATGTTGGCCCCATGAACCTTATCAGCTGTGACACTTTCAGAAATTTCCCTAACCTCTCTGAGCTCTTTGTCTCATCTATAAAATGGGGACAAGAAAATCACTTCATAGGGTTACTGTAAGAATTAAATGAGAATCTGTGTGTAAAATGCCTGGCACGGAATAGATGACTATAAATGATGGCTATTAGTATGATGGCTTGTCTCTCAGAGAGAAAGACAAGCCCCCAATAAAGAGTTTTCTATAACTACCCTGGCAATCAGAAGAATCTCTCAAAAGCCATTGCTGCCCTGAATGCCAAGCACCAACCTGTCCCCCATGTCCCTGCTCTTCCTCTCACGGTCCCTATGACAGTGCATAGCATGCCGGTTTCCCTGTAATCCAAATGAGAAATCTTGCCGTCCTCACTGACCCTTCCTTTCCCCCACAGCACATCTCTCATAGGTTCTATTGATGCTACTTCTTAAATATGTCAACTCCATTTGCTACTCTCCATCTGCCCACCACAAACGTTGGTTCAGGGCACCATCAACTTGCCCCTAGACAGCAGGTGTCCGACCTCATTTCCCTGCCCCAGACTTCCCCTTCAATCCATTCTCCAAGCTGCGACTACAGTCATCTCTCTAAAGTACAAATCTGGTCATTCCACTATCCTGCTTTGAACCCTTCACGGCTCCTCCAGAAAAATTCCAAGTCCCTTAACATGGCTTCCAGAGCCTGCCAGGACCTGCCCAGGCTCAGCAACCTCCATCCTCGTTTCACACCATGATCCTCTGTGTTCTGTGTGCCCCAGCCGCCGTGAAGCACTTGCAGTTCTACAGATGAATCACTGTCTGTCTCCCTCTGCAGGGATTTGATGCATGCTTTCTCCCTGCTTAGAATACTCCTCTGGCCCTCTCCTCTCCAAGCAAACTCATTCTCAGTCTTTAGGTTTCAGCTTAGGTCTCGTCTCTCCCTGGAAGCCATCCCCAACACCTGAATACTGGGTTAGATGCCCCTTCTACTGATTGCAAATGTCTGCTTATTTGTTCATCTCCCCCAATAGACCGGGAGCCCCTTAAGGACAAAACCCATTTTTGTTATTGAAATACCCTGTGTGGCAGATGGAGACTGGCTGAAAACAGGCATGCAAATTTTTTTTGGATAGATGGATAGGTCTATCCCCTGGCCTTGCCCTCTCAATCAACCCCTGGCTGAAGGTGGCTGCAGCATTGGGCCACCCAGTAGCTAAGCCAGTGCCAGGACCTGAAGATGCACCTACCTAGGATGGCCACCACCTCGTCATCCTGGATCACCTCCAGGGAGCCGGAAACCACAAAGCAGAGGCTGTCAACACTCTCTCCTGCATGGTAGATGAGGTCCCCGGGGGCGCAGTGCACCGTCTGGAACTCCATGGCCAGAGCCCGCAGACAGCCGTCGCTGGCCAGCCGGAAAGCCGGGTGCTCCTTGAACACCTTGCGGTTCAGGTGCACACAGATGTCGGCTCTCATGTCCTTGGGGCAGATCTGCAGGACCTGGCCGGGGCGGGAAGAAGCAGAGTCAGGGTCTTCGCTGTGGCCTCCGGCCCCTGCCTCTCGGCACCCAAGGGCAGAAGCAACCCCCGTGAGGCTAGACTGCCCTCGTCACAGTACTGGTGGACAAGACAACCACGGCATCTGCCTCTTGGAGCTTACACTCTAGCAGGAGAGACACCAGTGAACACGGAATTCTGTGCGGAATGCTCAGAAGAGGCGCCTGAGAGGCGGGTCTGGGAATACATGGGACTCCAGGTGGTCGTGGAAGGCCTCTGGGAGGAGGTGACATTTAAACTTCTGTCACTGAAAGAACATTCCAGCAGTAAAGCAAAGGCTGTGAAGGAAGCTGACCAATAATAGCCAATGTGAATGAGGGGAAAGGGGCGGGAGACGAGGTTTCGGGAGAATATCAAATAGAGTGTGTGGAGAGACTCTTAGCTTGTGAAAAGCCTTTGATTTTATTCTGAGTGTGATGGGGACACATTGGAGGATTCCGAGCACAGGAGAGATGGGACCTGACCTATGTTTTAAGAGAGTTATTGCAGCTACAGGGTGGAGTTAGAGTGTCCCGACTGTAGGACAGCAAGAGCCCAGCCAAGGAATTGAGTTAGGTCACTCCTGCGAGTGTCCAGGTGAGAGGTGAGGGGACCTTGCACTGTGATGCTGGGAGGGGAGCCAGTGACAAGTGGTCAAATTCGGGATATATTTGAAGAGCTAACATGATCTGCTGATGGACTGAATATGGGTGTGATATAAGGAGAGATATAAAGTAATATTTTATTTGTTCATTCATTTCATACTTATTCATCAAGCACCTTAGCGTATGCCAGGAGGTAGTCTAGGATCTGAGGATGCAGCAGTAAACAAAATACACGAAATCCCTGCCCTCATGTAACTTCCCACCTAGTTCAAGGAGACAAATAATAGGCAAAACAGTAAAACTTATTGGTAAGTGCCAAAGAGACCAATAAAGAAGGAAGGGAGAGGGAAAGTCAGAGAGGGTTGTGATTTTGCAGTTTCAAGTTTTACGTGCATTAGGTAATTCAATCCTCACATAAACCCTATGAAATAAGTGCTATTAGTGTCCTGTTCTACAGATGAGGAAACTGAGGCACAGGGAAGATACCCAAAGTCACAGAGCCAGAATTTGACAGTGCTGGGCTCCCACACTAGGTAGTCTGACCCCAGATCTAGTTTAGATACTAACCTATCCATACCAGGTGGCTGCCCAGAACAAATGGCAAATGCTGGTAATTTGACTCTGAGCATCTAGGAACTCAAAGCAAAACGGGAACCGTAAGAGGCTGCGCAGCTCTCATCCTTTGAAGAAATAAACATCTCTCAGCTTTTCTAGGGGGAGAAATATTTCTCTGCAGTACATTTTTACAAGAAACTATTATGGGGCCCCTTGCATAGCAAGCATTAAGCAACACACTAGGACACCTTCAAGAGGACTTTTCTAGAGAAATTAGGAGTGTTCCCTAAATAATCCTTTCTCCCATCCTAGCCTCGGGGTGTAAAATCAAATGTGCTCATAAAGACATTTCCTTGGGACACTGGTTATTTCCCCACCCCTGGCTCTCTTTCTTAGCACAGGCCATTTGCCTCTATGTCTGGAGCTCACCTTGGGTTCAGAAGTCCCTCAGCTTCCTCCAAAACTCAGATCAAATCTCACCTTGGCCCTTGTACCTCTGCTCACATCCCACCCCTCTCAGGTGCCCCCTGGGCTCTGTACGAAGGTGTGGCCATGAACGAGGAGTTGAAATCCCGGCTCCTTCCCGCCAAGTCATTTAACTGCTCTGCACTTCGGTTTCGCCTGTGAAAAGGCACTCTACTAACACTGCGTTATGAGAAATAAATGAAATTACATCTGCCAGTACACTTCCATGGGACATATAGGCCCCAGCTAGGGACTCGGTAAAAGCTGGTCCCCTCTCTGTGCCCTTCATTCTTGCCCTGCAGGTGCAGGCTGCTGGGGAAGCGAGCTCTCTGGGCAAGGGGGTGGCGGACCAACAGAGGCAGAGGGAACTTCAGACAGCCGATGCTTCAGCAGAGCCCTGGCTACTTAGCATTTCCCTCCTTTGGGCTCCGTGACAACAAGACTCCTGTAGAAATGCACATTTAATTAGGATCTACTTCTCCCCAAGCAGAACACCAGGGAGGGGGCATGTCGCGTCAAAAGCGTGCCCAGCGGTTCGAAACGAAGATTTATTTCCCAGGTGAGTTCGCCTTTAAATATTAGGTTTCCCCTGGGTGAGGTTTTGATGGCAGAGGCTGCTAGTGGCTGAAGCTGTGCCATGTTTTATTCACGGACACTGTTCCTGGAGCCAGAGAGCAGGGGCAGCCTGTGGAGAATGCAGGGACCCTCAGGGTATGGCCGCCTTGCTGCTGGCTCCACACTGGGTGGGGTGGGAGCCCCAGACTCCTGTCTCTGAGGGAGGATTTTGGCCTGAGATCCCCTCCTGGGCCACTTTCCTTTCTTCTGCTTGGTTCTGAGGAGAGATCACCCCTGCTGGTCCTGAGGGCCTCTCAGGCCACAGGCAGAAGTGACCATGGAGGCTGGTGGGGCCTCCCCAGGCTGGGCGGCCAGAGCATGCCACAGAGAACAGGCTCTGGGATCAGGCAGATCTGGGCTCAGTTCCTGGCTTTAACACTTGTCAGCCATGGGAACTTGAAGGACACCTGGCTTCTTTCCCCAGGTCTTCATTTTGGAGCCTGAGTATAGAATTCTCCTGAGGATTCCCAAGCGGCTGTGTGGGAAGTCTCAGCGCCATTCCTGGTACACGCAAGTGCTCAGGGCATGTGGCTCTCACTCCTGGTGTTATGGCAGCAGAGCAGCCAGTCTACCTGAGCGAGGCTTGGAAATCGAGAAGGTCATGGCTGAAAGGGCCTTATAGGTCAGCCTCAGTATTAAAAGTCATCTAGTTTCCATGTGTCACAGACATGGAAACTGCGGCTCAGGGGGACAAGAAACACGCTCAGAGCCACCAGCTAATTCCTGGTAAAACTGGAGGAGCTCAGTGCTAACCAATCCCCTGCCTCCTCCACACCCCACCCGCCCCCGCTTTCTTGGTCCTCACTGACCATTCCGACCCAGTGAGAGGGGAGGGGAACCAGGGAGAGGCAGGAACCCTGGACTGGCTCGCTCCCCAATGGCTGCCGGCTACATGCTCCTGCCAGGACAAGCAGCCACCTCAGGCCAGGCTGGGAGTGAGTTGCCACAGCACATTCCCTCTTCCGTGCAGTTGAAGACCTGGGGCAAATCCCAAAGCCCTCCAGGGAAGTGAGGAAGCAGTCAGGCAAATGCTGATGGTGCTGTGGCTGTGTCACTGCAGCCAGCCCTGCAGAAAGGGCGGGAAGCGCTGCTCTCCAGTCAACCAGGTTTACAAAGGCATCCTGGCCCCTGTGGAAAGGAGCCCCAGGGCTGAAAGATCAAAGTTCCTTTCTGCTCCACCACCTGCCAGGCACCCACAGAGGCTACTGGCCTTGAGAGAGCCGGGCAGAAATAACAGGTGCAGGCCAGGCAGGGTGTTGGCAAAATCACAGACTAAGCCCCACCCTACTGATGCCCTGCCTGTCTGAGAAACGAGGGCAGCTCCACCTGGGCTTGTCCTCCTTCCCCCTAGTACATGTTTTAAACTTAAAAAAAAAAAAAGATACTAGGAAAAGCACAAGCTTTGAAGTCAGACAAAACTAGGTTCAAATGCTGGCTCTGCCATTCTTAACTCTGTGACCAGGGGCAGTTAATAAAATTAATTAGGCCTCTGGGTCCTCATCCCTTCAACAGAAATAATAGTGGCTCCCTCCCAGAGTTGTTGAGAAGCCTAAATGAAGCCTAAATGCAGGGCCAGGCTCACGGAGAAATGTTACAAATAGTTTTTTCTTAATGTGCATTCAAGGAATGGCAGCTAGTGCTATGATGGTGTTGTTACTATGTTATTGTTGCTACTGAGGCAGATATTCAATAAAACCAAAGTATTGCTCCTTTTAAGTTGGGATCAGTTCAGTTTAGTTCAATTGTTCCTTGTAAACTGTCAGCTCTCAACTGACTATTCTAATGGAGGAAGACTAAGAGCATGGACAGCTGGTCCAAAGCCAGTTGAATTTGACTGTGAATAAGGTATTTTTGCACTAGTGTTATTTCTGTTTTCCTCCTTCTAACAATGAAAGGAATCAGCAAACCCTGAGTACTAACAGATTGGTGACTTAAAAAGTGCAGTTGGGAAGGCTGAGCAGAACAAAACTGTCCTAGGATTACAGATTTACTTACAGAAAATATGCAAGGAGATTAATTCACAAATGAAATAAGGAAGACCACTATATCTTTTCTCTATTCTTCCTAGTACTACCAAATTTTTTTCACTTTACTGAAATAAATGCATCTAGACTAATAATGCACCTCAGAGAACAAGAGCTATTTCCATTTTACAGGTGGGAACTGATACCTAGTGAGGTGCCTAACGGATGTTCTGCTCAAGGTAACTGGTCAAGCCCTTGATCTGTGTTTCCCAGACTTATCTGAAGAAATAGGATCACCTGGGCATTTGTTAAAAATGCAGATTTCCAGCCCCTCTATCATCCCACCCACACCAAAATTCTGATTCCATCGATTTGGGATGGAGGCTGGGAATCTGTTTTTCATGACCACATAGGGTTCTTATCAGGGCCAAGACCTGGAATGAGGAAACAGCCCTGGGCACAAAACTGAAGGGGATGCTAAAAACTCAGTAATCAAGATAAATCACTGTTTAATGCAATATTTCAAATCAAAATTCATGCAAAAAAAATCTATGATGAACAAAATCTCAAATGTTTGAATAAAGACAAGATCAACAACAGAGCTGTGTCACCTCAGAGACTGAGGCGAAAGGAGTATCAGCGATACAATCACCGCGCTGCAGGTGGTCCTGATTCTTATCCTCATACAAGTTTGGGAAATTCTCTTAAGAGACTTTCAGTTCTACTCTTCTCCAGGAGACACGTCCTGCCTTGCCAATTTCTTAAATAATGGCTCTTAATTGCAGTCCTTAAACAAGGCTGATTTGGAAGTTGTCAAAGTCTGTGGAGGTGGGACCTGGGAACCCCAACTTCCCAGACGAATTGTGATACACAGGTAGGTTTGAGAACTACGGCCCTCGGAGAGACTCAGTTCTTCCTGGGAGAGCCGACAGACGCAAGTACTTGACCTGAGCTCGCTGCCCTCCTTACCTTCTCTGTGTCGATGCCTCTGGACATGGACCAGGTGGACACGATATAATCCATGACTCGCTCACTCAATCCCTTCGGCACCTGGTAGAGCTTCAGGAAGTCCCTGACACTGTTGAGCATCTCATGGTACCTGTTGGTGTTGGCGTACATCTGCTGGAAAATGGTCGTCACATTCCCAAAGATGGTGGCGTAAAGAAGTGCTAGAGGCAGGAAGAGAAGAAATTACACCTGAGTGGTCCCAGAACCAGGATCCAAGAATGCCCAACTTGCCCAGAGCAGGCCAATGGGGCAGAGCTGCCCTCCACAGGGAAGACTGTCCTGATCTTGTCGGGAGAGCCTCACCCCAGGGGCATCTGGGAGTGGATGCAAAGAAAGATCCTGCTAACACCAGGCCACTAGGTCAAACACGTGGGAGGCAGGGCTAGGGTGGACAGGAGCTGGCTGGAGCTAGAGACAGATTGCAGTGAGGGTGGGGGTGGCTGGACTGCTTCACTTTATACCTCTTGCCACAAAGTCTGAGCCACGCCTGAGGCCACCAGTCAAATGTGTTACTACATGCTCCCTACCAGCCCAAACCGAAACCTCAAAGCAAGTCATCTATCAAGTCTGCTTTGTGGCCGACACTACTCTACCTGCCGGGAACATGATGGTGAAAAAGACGCTCAGTCCTGGCCCTCCCACAGCAAATAATGTAGCAGAAGGCCAACCCTTGAATATGTGATCACAAATAGTTAAATGATAGCAAGTCTGCCGAGAGCAATGCTTTGCAATTAAAAGTCATGGCACATGCACTACACTGTGATGTGGCCCCTGGGAAAGAAAGATTGACTTTGACAGGTGAGAATAAAATCAAGTCACTTCTGAGGTATACAACATGTACGTACTCTATGCTCCTACTTCTCTCTCTACAGTAGTGTCATGAAGGAGGCTTCTTATGTCTTCACAAAACCCCACCTTCAACCTCTAACTCCCATTTGCCCTTGAATGCTGAGCTCAATGCCACCACTTCCAAGCAGCCTCCCTATAAGGGTGACCAACTCCCCAGGCATATTTCTACAGAGCTCAGATTATATATACCACTTTGCAATCACACACTTCTTTCTTTGCATGTGCAATGACAGGAGAGGACCCATCTTTTCTTGGCATTGTATCCTGGGATCTAACACTATGCCAGTACCCAAAAAAATGTGTGTCAAATCAATAAATGTCACATACATGGTTTTGCTCTGGCTTTTAAAAAATTTTTAAGTATTATTGATATATAATAAACTACACATGTTTAAAGTGTACAATTTGATTAGTTTTGACTTATGTATACACCTATAAAACCATCACAGTCAAGTTAGTGAACATCTCTATCTCCTCCGAAAGGTCTGTCATGTCCCTTTATAATCCCTCCCTCCTACCTCTCCCTACTTTCCAGCCTTCCATTCCCAAGCAACCACTGATGTTTTCTGACACCATAAGCTTGCCTACTCTGGATATTTTGTATAAATTAAATCATACAATATGTTGCCTTCTGTGGCTAGCTTCTGTCACTTAACACAATGTTTTCAAGGTTCATCCATGTTGTAGCAGGTGTCACGACTTCATTTCTTTTTATTGTTGAATAATATTCCACTGTGTGGATATTCCACATTTCATTCATCCATTCATCAGTTCATGGGCATTTGGGTTGTTTCCACTCTTTAGCTATTGTGAATAAAGCTGCCAAGAACACTTCATCTTGAAGTCTCTACATGAACATGTTTTCAATTCTTTAGGGTATATACCTAAGGAGCGGAATTGCTGGATCATATGTAACAATGCCTTATGTATTGAGGAACTGCCAAATTGTTTTTCAAAGTAGCAGCACCATTCCTACCAGTGATGTATGAGAGTTCCAAATATTTTTGTCTTATCAACACTTGTTATTAGCTTTTTGATCATTGCCATCCTAGTGAGTATGAACTGCTATCTCATATACATTTGATGTGTATTTTCCAGATGGTTATGATGTTTTCATGTGCTTATTAGCCATTCATATATCTTTTTTGGAGAAATATCCACCCAAACCTTTTGCCCATTTTTCAGTTTGGATATTTGTCTTCATTATTGAGTTATAATCATTCTTTACATATTCTGGATACAGGTCCTTTATTAGATATAAAATGTGTAAATGCTTTCTCACAGCCTGTGGGTTGTCTTCTTACCTACTGGATGATATTGCTTGTGGCACAAAAGTTTTTAGTTTTGAGGTAGTCCAATTTATATATTTTCTTCTGTTTTCTTTTTTGACTAGTTTCTTCCATTCAGCATAATTACTTTGAGATTCATCCATGTTGCATGTATTGATAGTCTATTCCTCTTTTTTTTAAGAAAAATAACATTTTATTTAGAAATTCATGGAAAACTATAAAGACTATACAGGCTATATATACAAAATAAAGATTTTGTATACCCTTTACCCAGTTTCCCCTCTGGTTACATCTTACATAACTAGAGCACAATATCAAAACCAGAAGACTTCCACTGCTGTAAAGTATATGTATTATTTTGTATCAATTTATGTATATTTCCTATAACTAGCACCACTTTCAAAATACAGAACTATTACATCACCACAGAAGTCTCCCATTTGCTATGTCTTTATACTCACTGCCCCCTGGCAACCGCTAATCTGTTCTCTTTTTTTGCAGTTTTTTGTCATTTCAAGAACATTGTGTAAATGAATCATACTACATGTGACCGTTTGACATTGGTTTTTCCACTTAGCGAAACAGCCTTAAGATGCATCCAAGTCTTGCATGTATCAATAGGTCATTCCTTTTTATCACTGAATACTATCCCACAGTATGGACATGCCTCAAAAATTTCTTTCAAATAATCTTACCCAGGCTTAGCTGATGACTGAGGGCAGGACAAAATAAGAGAGAAAGGAATGGTCCAGAGGTAAGGGAAGGAAATCCCCATCATGGTGTGTCCAGCAGTTCTGGACATGGCTGCCTCAAAATTGAATATGCAAATCCACCTGAAGAGAGTCATAAATAAGGCTTGGAAGAGTACTGCCAGTTCTAGAAAGGTACCAGGAGTGGTTTCAAGCTGAACAAAAGAAGCCAGATGAAATGTTAAAGTGGTCAAAGTCTGAATTATGCAGACACAGCTCTTCTGACCTCATAAATGACTCAAACTCAAAACAGTCAGACTACTGCCTCCACCCCAGGAATGTCACCGACAATGCTCAGAACCTGCCTCCCAGTGCCTGTGCTGGCTGCCTCTTTCCTAGGGAGTCTGACTCAAACTCAACAACCCTATATGGGGCCTGTGCTGTTTTCTGGTCCCCAAAGGTCATGCATGAAGATTAAAAGTGCCTTTCCCAGGAAGGCTGCCAGAAAATTAATCTTAAGCTTAAAAAAAAATTAGTTACATCAAATCCATAGAGCAAGAAGAGCTCTTTTGCTCAAGATCTGAGAACTAGGCCCAGGTCTGAGACACTGGTGTGCTGGTCAGACAGCTAAGGTAGTGTTACCACCTGTCATGAATGCCTTAGGGCTGCTCCTGACCCAGCCTGCTTCTGAGGTACTCTGGAAGGTCAAGTGTCCTCAGGAAGGCCCTATTCAATTATTACTATTAAGAAATATTATTATTATTAAAAATGTTCCTGCCCTCAATGTCCCTCCTCTCATTTTTTTTTTAAAAAGACAAAGTTAATTTTATTAGGAGTGGGTAACTGAATTGCAGAATAACATTAATGCCACGATATTTAATTAAGAGCATAGTCAACATTCTATTAATGTGCAATTAAGAACATATAGTGATACAAACCATGTTTTTAAGGTTGTTTCAATATTTTTCAGCCCTGGTTTATTCATATAAAAGAGATTTTTGTTTCTTTCCATAGCAGAAATACATTTTACAATGTTTGACTACTTCCTTGAATACTCAAAAATGGAAAGAAATAAACTGCATTCTTACAAAACCATTTTAGGGTTAAGTGGGTCTTATTTTAAAAATTCCATATATTGAGGCAAAATATTCATTTTGCTATTTTTATCTGTTGCTTCTGGATCTGCTCTCTTGAACTTTATCACTATTTTTACATCAGCCTCTGCCTGCTTACTCGTGACCCTGTCCTGTCACCTAGACGGGATGGGCAGACACAGCTGTAGTTTAGGACATACAGTTTGTCCTTGGAAGGACAGAGGCACTGGTTGTTGAGTTCTCCTCCTTTGAAAAGTATCTAATCATAAGGTTTATTGCCACAAGTATCTAAGCATGTTGATTTTTTAGTGTGTTTAATGTTTATGATATTCTTACTTGATACCTTCTCTCATTTTTAGGTGAAGTGAGGTTATATGTTTTTTGTGCATACATTTCATTTATTGTAATCTATATATTATGCCCCCAAATACAACCTAGGAGAGAAGCATAAAAGTCCAGCTGTCACTTAAATGGATATTTGAGTGTGGCAGGGGGAGGAAGAGGGAGATTGTATTATCAGTGAATTACCGCGGCTGAACCTCACAGTGCAGAGGATGCTGTGGATCAGCTGGGTCCATCCGGGAGGGAAAGAAGGAAAAAGACCTTTCTCAACCCCAAGACTAATGCTGGTTTCTTTCTTTCTTTGAGTAGTTTAGAGTTCTGAGTCCCACAGCAAAAGCTCTGGGTCCTACCAAAAATAAGATACTATTCCTCTGGCCCTCGATAGAAATCGCTGTATGGACTTTGCAGGGTTAGGGTGGCACGAGTTTGTTTCTCTTTTTTAAATTTAGTGTTTATTTTTATATACATTATCTATACACATAGCTTAAAGAGTTAAATGGCCAAGAAATTTTTTTTAAATGTCCCCACACCTTTTTTTCTTTTCACCCATTTTCCTGCTCTGCAGTAACTCCCATTTTCAAGGATTTTTGCCTGTTTTGCCATTCACCTCCATTTTTGCAAATTATGCTCAGATTCCTATGTCCTGATATTTCCTGTTTGGGTGTTATTCATTGACCTCTGAGAATTGACCTCTTCCCCTCACATTAGCTAGCCTATCAGTTCCATTTCTATAAAGAAATCTTTCCTGAGGCTTCTGACCATTCCACTGTCAGCTGTGTGGATGGCTCAGCCCCAACATGACGGCAAGTCCCTTAACTTACTCGGGTTAGAGCCCTTCATTCTGCATCTCACGTCCTCTGCCCTCTTGTTTACTTCTTTTTGTTGGTAGAAGATATCC